ATTATTGTGGTGGTTCTTGTTCTGCTTTTTGTTTTGTTGATTTATTATTATTTTTTATTCCCATTATCATTATCCTATTACTAACATTATTGTTATTATTATTGTCATTATTATTGTTATTGTCATCATTACTAGCATTGTCGTTATCATTATTATTATTATTATTATCATTATCATCATTATTATTGTTGCTCTTGTTGTTATCATTATCATTATTATCATTATTAATTACAATTGTTATCAATATCATTATCATCATTATTACCATTGATATCATCACCATCATCGTTGTTTTTATTATCATCATTATTACCATTATCATAGTTATTAAGGGAACATTCATAACAATAATAATGGCACTAATTACCATAATAAGAGTAGAATATACGTATATCAAAACAACAATCAAGAGCAAAGACTATAATTTTCACTTCTTAATAAGTTCCTCACGTGACAAAAAGCGTCCTCATAATTAGAATAAAGTCCTTTGATCTTGGGAAATCTTGCACCATACCAATTTAAGAAAGAAAAAAGCTGAAAAAAATATTTAAAAAAAGGGCACGGGATTATTGCAAGAAATTAAATTGATTCGCGCCAGCCGGAAATGGCTTCGTTCAAGGTCAAAGGGAAGATTTTGGAGTGATCGAAACCTTGACCTGGTTTCTCGTCGTTCGGTTTTAGTTTAAAGTGTATTTATTTATTTATTTTTTTTTTTGTGTGTGTGTGTGTTTATGGTATTCATGTGGTGTGGTGTGGTGGTGGTGTGTGTGTATATTTGTGTGCGCGCGTGTGTGTGTTTGTGTGGGCGCGTGTGTGTGTGTGTGTGCGTGTTTGTTTGTATGTGTGTGTATGTGTGCGTGTGTCTGTGCACGCGCGCATATCGCGTCATGCTTTATCAATTTTAGGCCTCACTGAATTAGGATTATCCTCTTATCCCTTTACAATATCCATTCCGTAATTACAAAAAAATCTTAGACTTATCTTTCTTTCTTATTATAAGCGATCCTTTCACTTCACATCTGCTTCTTTTACATCAAAACGTACAGATTAACACCATCTCATAAAAGCCATAGTGAATCAATTAACTCCGGTGCATGATGAAGGCTGAGACAAAATGATCCTATTGATCCACTGCAGCAACGCGCCGAGAGGAGAGGAAGAAGGCTTGCTACTCCTCGCCTATATTTTCCTTTAGGCTCGTGGTCTCTGAATCTTCATCCGCATCATAACGCGGGAAAGGGACACGACGCTCTCACACGCGAAATAGAATTCGATGGATTGAAGATAATTAATTGGAGTTTGGCGCAGGGAAGGTCGAGGTTAGATCGACCGTTATCTTTGTTTTTACTTCGTGTTTTGTTTGTGTTTTTTTGGTTTATGCTCGTGTGCGGTAGGGACTTGGGGCTGTTAAACAAAATGGTCCGAAACGATTAGAGCGCGCGGGCACAAAAGACACGCGATGAACCTACGAGCCAACCTTTCGTGTCGAGTTATATATATTAACTCTTCTTATATCTCTGGACAACGGTGGGCATCACCTCACGACAAAAACAATACCTCCACTGAAAGAATCGTGCCGGTAGACGCCATCTTGTATACTGGAAGATCAACACGAACGTCACAATATGCACCTTGTAGCTCAGTTAGGGACGAGAGGCGTGAATATATGATTTGATGACGTCAGTCTTTTGGGTTCATGACGTCATGGCTCGTGACATTAGTGTTCCTGTTTTTTCTTTCTTTCTTTTTTTCCTTTTTTCGTCCAAAAGCAAGACGAAATCCTTAAGGAAAGGACATAAAGTGTAAGATGAGCTAGAGTATGCGTGTTCGGAAGGAAGGGTTATTTGATTTTGTTTTTTTATGCGTGTCTGTCCTTTCATGAAAGGTCTTTGCGGCGGTGCGGTGTTCACCCTTTCCTCTTCTTTTGCCTCTTCCTCTTTGTTGTTATTTTTCCTCTCTCTGCTTGTTGGGGATCCCTTTCCTTTTATAGTTCTTTTTAATTAGTTGTTTATATTGTATTGAATTAATTATCTGCCGCAGCTGATTTTCTTCTTCAGTTTATGTATGTGTTGTACACACACACACACACATCACACACACACACACACACACACACACACACACACACATACATATATATATAATATATATATATATATATATATATATATATATATTATATATATGTATACATATGTATATATATATATGCATATATATACATATACATATACATACATATATATACATATTATATACATATATATATATATATATATATATATATATATATATATATATATATATATATATATATATTATATATATATAATATATATATGTATATATATATATATTATATATATATATATGTATGTATATATATATATATATATATATATATATATATATATATATATATGTGTGTGTGTGTGTGTGTGTGTGTGTGTGTGTGTGTGTGTGTGTGTGTGTGTGTGTGTGTGCATGTTATATGTATACACACACACACACACACACACACACACACACACACACACAACACACACACACACACACACACACATATATATATATATATATATATATATATATATATATATATATATATATATGTATATATAAATACATATAGACATATAGATATTACAAGTGTGTTAAGCAAAAAAAAGAAAATAATTCTGCCTTGAATTTCAGTTGTCTTTTATTCCGGTAAAAAAAAATTATGCGGAAAAAATCGCCGTCAGAGGAATATGAAAATAAAAAGCAAAATTGAGGAATCAACCGGACTGCATGTCTTCATCATTGCAAATGCGAAGGAGAAATAACTTTTTGATATTCGGAATCAGCCGGGATGTTGCATCATTATTTTTACTTTTTTTTCCTGTTGAGTGAATGGTTCAACATGCATTCAAAAATCATGTTTCGTGCATGTGTAATGTATTATTAGAGTAAACAATGAATTTCGTTTCATATTTCTACTCATTGTTATAGCAGTCATTTAATTATCATATATATATATATATATATATATATATATATATATTATATATATATATATATATATATATATTTTTTTTTTTTTTTTTTTTTTTTTTTTTTTTTTTTTTTTTTTAATACATTTGTTACCTCACTCTTTCTCCCTCTTTTCTGCCTTTTTTTTCTCTTCTCTTCTTTCCTTTCTATTTATTTTTTCTTTTATACTTTCCCTTTTCTTTTTGTTCTATTTTTTCTTCTTCTTCTTTTTTGTGTAACGGACACAGAAATGCAAACTTACCTATTGCATTGGGAAGGCTAGCGCTGTCGAATACCTGCTCCTGTAAAGGAAATTATTGCTTGTAAAGTTTTCATGCACTTTATTATGTCCTTGGTAGATGTATACTAGTGTCATCACAATAACTTAGGCACCTATTGATTTCCGTAATTCCAACCACAGGGGTATAAGATATTTACGAGGGAAAGGCAAACACACGACAGAGAATACGAATTTACGTATAGACAGTATAAGATATCCAGTCAGTTACGTAGACCTGCCTAAGTTAAGAAAGAGGAGACCCTAGAATAATAAAAGAACATTTTATAGATATCACAACATGGCAGCCGAAAGCATCTATACAAATGGATGAAACGTAAATCCACCAAACAGAAATAAGCGTTTTGTTTGCAAAGGAATCCTCGAATACTGCAATGGCAGGGGAAGGATATTGCATTAGAGTGATTTCGCGTCTCCATTCCTCAGAATTTAAAAGCTATTTTGGGAAGATCTTTCACCGATACATTTATCTGATTGCCTCCGCAGCTATAAGCCTGATATGATATCTAGGCTTAGGCTAATTAATAATTAACGATAATAAGGCTAATGAAGATGTCTAATTGAATGGATGTGATTAATCGGCTGGCTACACAGATATTTGATAGTTTCTGTAAAGAAATATATTCTGTCATTATCCTTATTATTATTATCATTATTTTTGATATTGTTATCGTCATTATTATCATTATTATTATCTTCACTATTATTATTACTATCATTATTATTGATATTATTATCATAATTATTATTATTATCATTATTATTATCGTTACTGCTATCATAATTATCCTTATTATTATTACTACTATTTTTATTATTATTATTTTCATTATTATTCGTCTTCGGTCTCATCGCGTTTAACAACGACTTCAACAAATCTGTCATGTCAGAAATGATAACCATTAGGCTCTTTCCTCCTCCATCTTCCTTCCCTCTTCCTCTGTGTCTCCCTGCCCCCCCCCTCCCTCTTCCCATTCCCTCTCCCTCTCCTCCCCAGACCCCCTCCTGCCCTTTCCTCTCCCTCCCCTCCCCCAGACCCCTGTCCCTTCCTCTCCTATCCCTCTCCTCTCCCCTATCTCCCTTCTCCCTCCCCCTCCCTCCCCCTCCCCTCCCTCTCCCTCTTCTCTCCTCCAGACCCCATGCCCCTTCCCCTCCCTCCTCCACTAGCCCCCCCCCCCGAGTTGGGCCATTTATCCCACCTAATGATAATCTCTTATCTAACTCATCCCAAACGACCCTCTACCACGACCTTTCTCACGCGATTGCAACGCATTCAGAGGCGATCATGCAGAGAGGTTCGGTCTGCATGCTTCCTGGGGAGGGGGGGGGAGGGGGAAGCATGGTATCCTAGCATGCATAGGAACATTGTTTACGTCTTCAAAGAGAGAGAGAAAAAAAGTGTTTTGTTGTCATGAGAGATTTTGTTCGGATGATTAAGGAGTGTATGTGTGTGTGTGTGTGTTTGTGAGGAGAGAGAGAGAGAGAGGGTGGGAGGGGGAGGGAGGGGAGGGAGAGGAGAGAGGAGAGAGAGGGAGAAGAAGAAAGAAAGAGAGGGAGAAGAAAAAAAAAAGAGAGTGTAAGAGAAAGGGAAAGTGAGAGAAAGAAAACGAGAAAGAGAGACATACAGACAGAAAAAAACGACCGATAGATAGATAGAGGAGATTATAGATGCAGCAATTTTGCTTTTCAT